CTGAGGATGCGAATAACATCAGCTAACGACGGGGCATGAGCTCTCGAAAAGACGCCAACGTGTTCATTTACACTTGCGCTGGTGCTCTCAAGACGTGTCAGGGCATCTCCTACGTACCCAACTCATCCTCGACATCCTCACCGTACTCTTTCTAGGTTCGCTTCAGAAACTACCCTCACTGTAGCTCGTTCGCTGCTTCTCGTGCGTGATACTTGTGCCTGGCACGGTCCGGTGCGCGATCGAGAAACAATTCCACAAGAAAGCGCACTCTCGACTCGACGAGGTGGCAAGTAGGTCCCTCGTTCTGCCCAATGTATCGGTCCGTCGTCACGCGAATGACATCACACAGCAGCTGCGGCGGGAGAACCCGCCGAGGGCTGAAGAAATCACAGCAGAGTCCACCTGGGCGGGCACGAGGGAGAGGCCGCGTCGCACAGGATGACAGAAGTTGGAGAAACCCCCCAAAAGTACAGATACCGCTACGCAGACCTCTCCTGGGGCGCGTCTTGACCAGGACTTCGAGGCGAATCAAGTCGTGGCGACGAGGGCCTCCCAGAAGGCCCAACAAAGCGAAAACGAAGGAAGGGTAAAGGCATGAGTACCTGTTCCTCTTCTGACGAACCCGACGTCGCCATCGCCGTCGACGTACGACGACACCGACGAGCAAACCTCCCACGCAGGCGGAGAAAGAGCCTGGCAAACGCGCGTGGGCGGTGCGGGCGAGCAGCGCCACGCAGGTCCCGCGAAGCCAGCGCAGAAGGCCCCCCCGCCCCGCCAATCCTAGGCCCTTTGGATTGGCGTGGCGGGCTTGACGCCAACGAGCGTATTCATTAGCAACAGGAGGACCCGTAACCGTTTGCGAGGGGACCTAAGTTAGGAGGGCAAGAAGCATCAGGAATACAGGTGGTCCCTTCTGCAGACGTATCAAACCAAAACGCCCAGACTGATGCTCCCTACTCTGAAGACGGTGACCTAAGTTACGGTGCGGGCGTTGGTCAAGGAATGTGCCCAAGAGGCGTCGGACCCTCGAGGAATCCTCATCTGGTGAAAAGTGGCGGTGATATCCATAGCCGCTCCACGATTGGAGTTCCACCAGCCTCCAGACCCTGGCTTCCTTATTCAACGGTTCTTTACTCAATACCGTCACCGTAGACCACGTCTCCATCGTGTTCTGAGGATCCGGGCTTTTCCCAACCATCCTGTGGTGTTGGGTCCTCGTTTTGAAGGGACGGTCCCCGCGTTCCTCCTCCCTCCTTCCTTCCTCCCCCTTCTCCTCCTCCTCCTCCTCCCCCTCCCAGCGTTTCACCCACCCAGTACAACGATTCGTGGCCCCATAGGGAGCTCCACAGAAGGCTCCCGTGCCACCGTCCGCATGCGTCCCTGAAACCCACTTTGGCATCTTCGCCCACCCAATACACCATTTCGTGGCCCCAGAGGAAGCTCCACCGAAGCCCCCGGTGGGACCGTCCGCAACCGTCCCGGAAACTCAATTTAGCATTTTCACCCACCCAGTACAGCACTTCGTGGCCCCATAGGGAGGCCCACCGAATCCCCACTGGGACCGTCCAGTACAACGCTTCGTGGCCCCATAGCAAAGGTAGCTCCACCGAAGGCCACCGTGCCACCGTCTGCATGAGTCCTGGAAACCCAATGTTGCAATTTCACCCACCCACTACAACGCTTCGTGGCCCCATAGGGAACTCCACCGAAGCTCCCACTGGGACCGTCCACATGCGTCCCGGAAACCCAATTTGGCAGTTTCACCCACCCATACTATACACCGCTTCGTGGCCCCAAAGGGATCCAACGAAGCCCCCACTGGGACCGTCCGCGTGCGTCCTGGAATCTTAATTTGGCATTTCCACACACCCAATACAGCGCTTCGTGGCCCCAGAAGGAGCTCCACCGAAGCCCCCAGTGGGACCGTCCGCATACGTCCAGGAAGCCCAATTGGTATTTTCACCCACCCAATACAGCGCTTCGTGGCCCCAAAGGAGCTCCACCGAAGCCCCCAGTGGGAAAGTCCGCATGCGCCCCAGAAACCCAATTGGATCGTGGCAAGAAGCCGCGCAAGACGACGCTGCCTGGGCAGATATGACGGAGGACGTTTTGGATTTCTGCGAGTGAGCACGCCCGCCGCTTCCTGCTTGCACTGTAACTTGTTTTTCCCTCGCGCCCTATATGGGCCCGCCCTCGTGCGAGCGGGGCGACTTGACTTGACTTGATCACCCATCCCAGTACAACGCTTCGTGGCCCCGTGGGGGGCTCCACCAAAGCCTCCAGTGGACCGTTCACCCACCCAGTACGGCGCTTCGTGGCCCCATTGGGAATCCCACCGAAGCCCCCAGTGGGACCGCCCGAATGCGTCCCACACACCCAATTTGGCATTTTCACCCACCCAGTACAGCGCTTCGTGGCCCCATAGGGAGCTCCACCGAAGCCCCCAGTGGGAACGCCCGCGTGCGTCCCACACACCCAGTTTGGCATTTCCACCCACCCAGTTCAGCGCTTCGTGGCCCCATAGGGAGCTCCACCGAAGCCCCCTGGCATTTTCACGCACACTGTACAGCGCTTCGTGGCCCCATGGGGAGCTCCACCGAAGCCCCCACTGGGACCGCCCGCATGCGTCCGCCACACCCAATGTGGCACCCCTCACACGTTTCGTGGCCCCACAGGGAGCTCCACCGAAGGCCCCAGTGCCACTACCCGCATGCGTCCCCCACACCCATTTCGGCACAACCCTACCGCCCGCGTGCGCCCCCCCCCACCCAGTACAGCGCTTCGTTGCCACATTGGGAGCTCCACTGAAGACCCCCAGTGGGACCGCCCGAATGCGTCCCACACCAAGTACAACGCTTCGAGGCCCCATAGGGAGTTCCACCGACGGCCCCAGTGCTACCGCCCGCATGCGCCCCCCCAACCCACAACAGCGCTTCGTGGCCCAATAGGGAGCTCCACCGACGGCCCCAGTGCTACCGCCAGCACGCGCCACCCCCACCCAGCGTTTCGTGGCCCCATAGGGAGCTCCACCGAAGGTCCCAGCGCTACTGCCCGCATGCGTCCCCACCCCCCCACCCAGTACAGCGCTTCGTGGCCCCATAGGAGCTCCACCGACGGTTCCAGCGCTACCGCCCACATGCGTCCCCCCCACCCAATACAGGAGCTCCACCGACGGCCCCAGTGCTACCGCCCGCACGCGCCCCCCCTATCCAGTGCAGCGCTTCGTGGCCCCATAGGGACCTCCACCGACGGCCCCAGTGTTACCGCCCGCATGCGTCCCCCTCCACCCACCCAGTACAGCGCTTCGTGGCCCCATAGGGAGCTCCACCGACGGCCCCAATGCTACCGCCCGCGTGCGTCCCCTCCACCCAGTAAAGCGCTTCATGGCTGGCCCCATAGGGAGCTCCACCGAAGGCTCCAATGTTACCGCCCGCATGCGTTCCCCCCCCCACCCAGCGAAGCACTTCGTGGCCCCATAGGGAGCTTCACGGAAGAAGAGATTCACACTTGCGATACCCACAACTGCATATGGTTGGGTCCTTCGCTTGGATAATTGTTGTTCTCGGTAACAAGTCTCCCACGCAGCCAGAAAGGAGGCCTGGCGGCCGCGCGCAGGGGCGCGGGCGGCGCACAGGCGGGCAAGCGCCAAGCGCGGGTCGCGCCGCGCCGGCCCGGGGGGCCCACCGCCTCACCGTGGCAGCTTTCTCGGCCTCTCGGATCGGCGTCATGAGCTTGCGGGCTTGTGTCAAAATCTAATGTCACGAAGACATATCAACACACATGGTTTTGTAAGGAGATGTTTCAAAAGAGAACTTGCGCACGCGCCCTTGCGAATTCCTGAAAATACCATCGCTTTGTCAACATGCTCATATAATGTTTCAAAGTGGCGTCTCGCGCGCGCGCGCGTCAGAGGGCCCACCTTAGAGACCCCCCCGGCTGTAGCCCTTGGACTTGGCGGGGCGGGCTTGCGGACTTGCTTCAAAGAGGCATCATCACCACCACAATCACAGCCAACAATCATCATCATCATCATCATCATCATCATCATCATCATCAGCATCATCATCATCATCACCATCATCATCATCACCATCACCATCAGCAGCAGCAGCAGCACCAGCAACATCATCATCATCATCATCATCAGCAGCAGCAGCAACATCACCATCACCATCATCACCGTCATCATCGCCATCGTCTTCAGCATCATCATCACCACCACCACAACCATGATCAACCTCATCGTCGCCATCGTCACCATCACCATCACCATCACCATCGTCATCCTCATCGCCATGGTCATCGTCATCTTCGCCGACGTTTCCATTATCATCATCACCACCATCACCACCATCACCATGATCACCATCAGCATTCTCATCAGCAGCAGCATCATCATTACCATTATCATCAGCATCATGAGCAGCATCAAGTCACATCATCACCATAACCATCAATACCACCATCATCATAACTACCACCAGCATCATCAGTAATATCGTGACCCGCATCATCCCCAGCATGCTCATCATCATCGTCAGCATCATCATTACCACCATCATCACCACTACAACCATCATTATCATCACCATTATTAATATCGTCCTCCTCACCACTATCATCATCATCGCCATCGTCATCGTAATCAGCATCGTAATCGTCATCGGCATAATCATCAGCATCAGCATCAGCGCCAGCATCAGCAACAGCATCATCGTCGTCGCCGTCGTCCACCATCTTCACCGTTATCGTCCTCGGAGAGAGCGCATTGCACGGGCACTTGCCTTGGGAACATTCGGCGGCCCGTTTCAAACCTGGTGTGGGCCCCCCCAACACTCGGCGCCGTCGATCAAAGCCAGGGGGACTCCCCTCCCCCCCAAACCCCCCACTCCCGAACCCCCGCCCCCCCCCCTCGGCGCCGGCGGCGGCGCCAGCGCTGGCGGCCGCCAGCAGCGCCGACGGCGGGAACGCAGCGACGATGACCAGAGGCAGCCCGAGGG